ACGCATGCTCAACAGTGAATTCGAGAACCTGCGCAATAGTACAGGTGGTCTCTTGTGTTTCAATAACTTTTTATCGACTAGTACCGACCCTATAGTGTTATCGATGTATTCCTCAACTCCACCAGACGATCTCAATATGAGCGCAATTCAATTTGAAATGAAAATCGATCCCGCTCTCGCATCTATCCCATTCGCCTCTGTAGACAATGTGAGTTTCTTCTCGGACTCGGAAAAAGAGATGCTATTCTCGATGCATACCGTATTTCGAATCATTCAAATTGCAGAGATTGAAGCTCGAGTGTGGAAAGTCGAGCTTGCCTTGACTAGTGACGACGATCAAGAGCTGAAACGACTAACCGAACGCATGCGAGAAGAAACATCTGGGTTGACAGGATGGGATCGACTGGGCAGCTTGTTGATCAAGATTGGACACTTCGATAAAGCTGAAGAAATGTACCGAACACTTTTCGAGAAGATATCCACTGACGATGACAAAAAAGTTTCTATTCTCTATCACCAACTTGGATACTTGAAAGACGTCAAAGGAGATTTTAGAGAGGCATTGAACTTCTATCAAAAGTCACTTAAAATCCAAGAGAAATCAATTCCGCTGAATCATTTCAGCTTGGCTACTACCTACAGCAACGTTGGTTCAGTGCATGATAACATGGGAGAGTACTTGGAAGCACTCGAGTTCTATCACAAGGCACTTGAAATCAATGGAAAATATCTCTCTTCGAGTCATCCAGATTTAGCTACTACTTACAACAACATTGCTTTAGTGTATGACCACATGGGAGAATACTCGAAAGCACTCGAGTTCTATCAAAAGGCACTTGAAATCAATAAAAAAACTCTCCTTCTAAATCACCCCAGTTTGGCGATTACCTGCAACAACATCGCGTCAGTGTATGCAAGCATAGGAGAGTATCCGAAAGCACTTGAATTTTATCTAAAGACACTTGAAATCAGGGAAAAATTCCTTCCTTCGAATCACCCAGATTTGGCTGCTACATACAACAACGTCGGTACAGTCCATAAGAATATCGGAGAATACTCGAATGCACTCAAGCTCTATCAAAAGTCACTTGAAACTCAACAAAAGTCACTGCCTCCAAATCATCCAGATTTGGCTGCTACATATAATAACATTGCTTTGCTGTATTACCAGATGGGAGAGTACTCGAAAGCATTGGAATTCTATCAAAAAACACTTGAAATTCAAGAAAAATCGCTTCCTCCACATCATCATAAATTTGCTACTATCTACAACAACATCGGCGGAGTGCATGATGACATGGGCGAGTACTCTAATGCACTCGAATTCTACCATAAAGCACTTTATATTAAACAAAAATCTCTCCCTTCGAGCCATCCAGATTTTGCTGCTACCTACAACAACATTGCCTTGGTGCATAATAAAATAGGAGAATATTCTAAAGCGCTCGAATTCTATGAAAAAACTATTGAATGTCTCCGAAGTGTTCTCTCTTCAAATCACCCCAATTTTGCTGCTACGTACAACAACATTGCTTTGGTACATAACAAAATGGGAAAGTATTCCAAAGCACTCGAGTTCTATAAAAAAGCACTTGACATCCAACAAAAATGTCTCTCTCCAAATCATCCTAGTCTGGCTGTTATCTTCAATAACATCGGTTTGGTGTATTATAACATGGGAGAATACTCGAAAGCGCTCGAATTTTATCAAAAGACACTTGAAATTCAAGAAAAATCTCTTCCTTCAAAACATCCCAGCTTGGCTACAATCTACAACAATATCGGTTTAGTGCATGAGAACATGCGGGAGTACTCAAAAGCACTCACATTTTTTGAGCGCGCTGTTGACATTGGACAACTCTCACTGCCCGACAATCATCCTCTTCTTCAGTTGTACCGAGAGAACCTCACTGATGCACGAACCAATTATAATTAGTGTTGATTTCGATGACAACGACCATTCCATTCATCTTAACACTTAATTCTATACTCTTGATTTTTTTCTTCCTCCTACCCATTGTACTAACGATCTGTCGAAAGGTTTTTGGGCAAAATGCTTTCCCATTTTTGACTCTCTTAAAACTATTCTAGACGAATGAAAAACTATGGGTTAGGACGAGAATTTTGTGCTCTTTTCGAATATGGGCTCAGAAGTTGTGTACCTATTTTGTCCTAGAGTACTGATGGAATTTTTGAACGTCATGAAAAATTGGTGTGAGTGGAGAAAAAACAAGTATTTTCGACTTCCGTAAGTCTCTTTGCATAGGTTCTAAAAATGGTTCAATTTGGTAATTTTGTAGAGCGAACAATTCTTTATAAAATATTATGTTGAACTAAAATGTAGGTTTTACACAAGTGAAATTATAATCATTTTTGCAAGAGCTACATCTACCTAAATCGAATTTTGATCAAAAAGCCGGTTTTTCAAAATGTGGCTGATAGAAAAACAATAACTTAGGTATTTTATCGGAACAAAAAAATAAACTCAAATACCACATTTTGTAGAACAAATTTTGTGGAACTTACATATATTTTCGAAGAATACAATGCTTGTTAGTTTTAAGTTCGACTATTGCGGCTCCACCCTCCTCCCCATTACAGACCTTAGCAACCAGCATTAAATAATGGATATATATATATAACAGTATTATTTGCCATTTAATTTAATGCTTATAATATTAAAAATGTTAAATTAAGAAAAAATAATTATGAAAATGAAAAATTACGAGCGAATACTAACAATGAAAACGAATAATAGGGTCGCCCGTCAGAAAATGAAAAATAAAAAAGGATGTGGGTGGAGGCCCATAAAAGACAATACCCACACCCACACCCCGAACCGAATTGTGAATCAAACTGTTCTACCAAACCCCACTCGCTCCATGGGTAGGAACTTCTTGTTGCTCAAAATTAACATAGGTGCATCCTCCTCATGGAGTACTCATCGCTCCCATGCGGCGACAGAAAAGCTTGTAGTTCTTATTCAAATATTAGTATCCTATCGTTCATCAACGTTAACCACGCTTCCAAAACTTCGTCGTCTCCTTTTTTTTGAACTAGAATGATGATAGATCAACATTAATCTGATTGTTGTCTGGACGTGGACTCGATTATCTATTCTAGATTTGTAAATGATGAAGAGAAGTGAGAAATTTTTCCAGAAAACATAGCCGATCGACTCGATTTCCAATCTTCAGGGTGTGAGTATGGGTATGAGTTAGAATGTAAATATAGGTTTCCGTTGGAGAAGAGTTACACCGTCATGAACATTGATATTGATACCGACACCAACCTACACCTCACAATATACATTCGTTTTCTTTTTCTTTCTTTTCTTTCATACACACGTATACTTTATTGAACGTATGTTCACTATATAGAGGTTTATTCACAGCAAAAATCGATCGGGAGGACCGAGACAGGCGTTCAGATAGGAGGTGTTCATTAATAGAGGTTTTACTGTATTTATAAATCGTTGATACTTCATCGTATAAATGAAATATTTGTTAACTGTTATGAATCGTTATAATGGAAATCATTTAAGCTATTTAAACAGTATTATTAGTCGTCTGAAACGCGTTAAAACAGTTAAACTTCAACGATTCCAAGCGCTTAAACATGTAAAATGAGTTAAAAGTAAATTTTTCATAAACTGTTTTAACGCCTTTTTGGCGACTAATGACATTGTTTTTGTCGTTTACATATTGACATATTTAAACGCTGTATTTTGGTGTTTTCATGTCCCCATGGGTCAGAAAATGTTCTCTTCTATTGTTATCTTTATCATTCGTCATGCTTCTCTTTCCATTTTTTCTTCGATACGCTCTGTTCGGTGTTGAAGAATCAGCGTAATATGAGTAGTAATTTCTGCTAAATATGATGCTGACCACTTTTAGAAAACGAATAGATGGTGCTAGTTGATAATTTTTCATGATGACGGGTTGGCATAGAAAAGGCATAGCATCGCTGAAACATATCCAAGTGTCAATGGACGTAAGAAACTAACCATACCTATGATATCGTTAATGAACAATGGGAGGAGAATTAAAACAGAAAAGATGGCCACAATGAAAATATTATACAGCAATATTTGTCAGGTATGCCTAAATTTCACTGTGCAATGGTTTTCGTAATGAACCCATTTATAAATTAACCTCAACAAGTGCATCAGTAGATTCCTTTAGAAATTAATGAAATGAGTCATTCACATCAGCAAGTAAACCAATATATATGCATGTTTCTCTCGCGTGTTCGCTCAAGGACTCGAATGTGATTCATACATGGCTTGATTAATCAAAAATACAAGTGTATAACGGAAACGTAACATAGTCCAATTCTTTACCATCTGTCTGCGTTAATCAAACAAAATTTTATATTGATTACTGAGATTGACAGTGCCCCTCTCCTTCACTGGTTGATCTCCATTGCTGGAGCGTATGTTGTTTCTTGATTGGCTGAGCAAACCAAGCAATCAACAGATGACCTTGTTTCTTTTCAAACTTAGTTGATACTTTCCTTCGAAGAAAAGAAAATTGCTTATTCATTACTATTAACACAATTGGAGTGTTTGTCAATACGGTTTTCATCATCCGTCTACTATTTATTCTAAACACTTATCAACTTATCAATATGACTTCGCATAGTTTTGATGATGCAGCAATTATTGATATAACATTGAACGAGGATGAAAATCCTCTGCTATTGGATGATAATACTCAAAACACCAGTATCAACAATTCAAATTCATCCATTCATAATACTATTCTCATTCCATCGATCTCTCATTTTCGTCTCACTAATATTCTTCGTGGACTTGTTTTCCTAGAATTTTTCTTATTATTTATTATTTGGCTTGCAGGTACTCCTTTTCCAATCACTAAAATACTATGACAAATATCATCTGTTTATTCGGAGTTTCAGGTAGTCGAACTCATTTACTCATCGATGATATCATTCACTTTCATCTAACTACATCCATCTTTGATCTGGTGATTATTTCAATGTTTAAACTTATTCTTCTCATTATTCTACTTACTGAACTTGAAACACTTGTGATTCTTCGTCTCTACAGACCAAGAGATCGTCCTTCGTTTCCTTCCGATCGATATCTACCTACCATTGCTCTCTTATTGATAGCTATCGGTTCATTGGCTTTTGCCATTATTAAATTTGTTCTTATTTTTCATCATCAATTTCAATTGAGTAAACTTTATCTTTCTTGTATTTATATTTTTCTTTTATGTTCTTTACTTGAACTCATTGGTATTTTATTCATATTTCCCTATTTGAATCGATTGAAATTAATTGAACAACAACGTGAACAAAATCGACAAGAAAAACAAGTCGATATACGACGTGTACTTTCCTTAGCAAAAGAAGAACGATCATTGATGATAATTGGTACTTTCTTTTTATTCATTGCAAGTGCTATTGATATTGTTGATATTATTCTTTTCGGTCAAATAATTTCTTTTGCTCTCACACATGAATCTATGCATTCCGTCAACGTTACTGTATTGATTTATTTCGGGATTGATTTTATCAATTGTATTTGCTCTTTTTTTATTTCATGGCTGTTTGACTTGGCTGGACAGTATGTATTCTGTTTTTGAATCGAAAAAAACCTATTATCTTCTTTTTTTTTTCAAGAAAAATGACCTATCGACTACGTCAAAATATATTTAATGCAATAATTAAGCAAGAAATTTGTTTTTTCGATGAAAATCATACCGGTGAATTAACAAATCGATTATCAAGTGATACACAAGTAGTACAAACTATGCTAACAGGAAATATTGCAATATTAATACAAAATTTTATACGTATTGTCGGCAGTCTTATTGTGATGTTCTATTTACAAGTTACATTAACTCTTTTACTTATTAGTATTGTACCAATTGCCATTCTTATCGCTACGATATATGGAAACATTGTTGAAAAACTACGACAACAGTTTCAAGATAAACTTGCTGAAGCGAATACAACTGCTGAAGAATCAATTTCAAATATTCGTGAGTTATTTGTTTATTTTCTTTGCTGTCATAAAAAGCTATTCATTATGTTTCTATGTATTGTTATGATTAGGAACTGTTCGTATATTTGGATCTGAATCCAAAATAACTGATAGTTACAAACAGAATCTAATGAAATCATTTGTCACTGGGAAAAAATTAGCATTTAATGATGGTTTATTCTCAGGTGTTACAGGATTGTTGACTGCAGGCATAATATCAGTGGTTATATGGTAAGAAAATTTATATATATATATTTGAGAAGAAAACTAGTAATCTTAGTGAAAATGATTTATTTTTATTGCTTTCTTTTTCAATTATAAAAGAAAAATGATTCGGACATTCTGCATGTCGATATACTCAAATCTGTTTTTTTCAAAGGTTTTGATATTATTTAAATAAAGTCTGAGAGTTTTTCGAACATAAGAAAATGTATCCAATATTTGTCGTGGCATTGCCAAACTTAGAAATCTACAAATTCGATGAAGTATTTTTTTGAAGTTCAAATTAAAAAGAAAGCAAATAATCGCGTCAGGTTGTAACACTTGCCATTTTAGTTCACATTTATGTCAATTTTCTTGATCTCGATTATCTATATATTATTATAAAATGATTTCTAATTTTAGGTATGGTGCCAAATTAGTTCACGATAAAAAACTATCAACTGGTATTCTAACATCATTTCTTTTGTATTTGATACAAGTTGCTGTTGATTTTGCTTATCTTGCTTCGCTCTATGGCGGTAAATATTCAATTATTATGATGAAACAAAAAAAGATAGTCAGATAATTTCTTATTTTCTCAATTTATTCTCTAGAATTTATGCAAACAGTTGGTGCAAGTAAAAGAATATTTGATTTACTTGATCGTCAACCAAAAATTTCTTCAACGTCCAATGAAAGTTGTTCTATTGAACCAACTAATTTTGATGGAAGTATTCGTTTTGATAATGTCTCATTTACATATCCAACTCGACCTGAACAACAAATACTTACTAATATTTCCTTTTCAATTGCACCTGGTCAAAAAATTGCATTAGTTGGACCATCAGGTAGTGGTAAAAGTACAATAGCATCACTTATCGAACGATTTTATGAACCTCATTCTGGTACAATCTATCTTGGTTCATATTCACTTTTATCGATTAATCCACAATGGCTTCGACAAAATATATCATTTGTTAATCAAGAACCATCTTTATTTGCATGTTCAATTCGTGATAATATTGCGTTTGGTCTTGATCCAAATCAAGTTTCATTCGATGACATTATTCGTGTTGCTAAACAAGCTAATGCACATGAATTTATAGAAGAATTTGATCAAAAATATGATACACTTGTTGGTGAATGTGGTCATCGTTTATCAGGTGGACAACGACAACGTTTAGCAAGTACAAATCAAAATTTCGAACAAATTGATCAGAAATTCTTTCAATCTTATTTTCAGTTGCACGAGCACTATTGATGAATCCAAAATTCTTAATATTAGATGAAGCAACAAGTGCACTCGATGCAGAAAATGAACATTTGATTCAAGAAGCCATCGAACAAGCAATGATTAATCGAACAGTTTTAATTATTGCACATCGATTATCAACATTACGTAATGCCGATTTAGTTATTGTTCTTGATCAAGGGAAGATTGTTGAACAGGTGAGAAATTTTATGAATATCTAGACATTCTATTTCATTGTCTTCTTCATAGGGTACTCATGATTTTCTTCTTAGCAAAGAAGATGGTATTTACAAAAACTTAGCACTTCGACAACTTATGTCTGGTGCTTCTACTTGACATTCGCAATAGATCAATTGGTTTCTATTAACCATATCTAAAAGTAGTTCAAGTATGAACATAATCGATTTTAGATCGAAGAAAAATGTTCATATTCAAAATTAATTTAAAAGTCCGAGTAAAATGTTCGATGATTAATAATCACATAATCATTTATTGATTATAAGAATGATCAAACAAATATCAGCAGAGAATGTACTCAAAGTTTAGCAACTTTCAATTTCAATTTTTTCTCAATGATTAAATGTAAAGCTTGAAAATTTGGTACATAGATCTTTACTCCATAGTTGATTAATATCTAAAAGTTTCGTCTTAATTGACTTAACGTTTTATATCAAAACGACATGCTGATAACGCATTCAAACAAAAGGTTCTCTTTTTTCGGTAGTGTAGGTGGGTATGGATGTAGTTATAAGCGGAGACAAGATTTATTCACACTCTACTTTGTAAGAATATTTGAGAACTTGATATTTATGTATAAAAACTTGGAAGTGTTCTCAATGACTGGTACAAAAATCAATTCATCAAATGAAGCCATCATGGAGATGTATAATTTTCTTTTGGGTCAACGGCTTACTGAACACTCTGTTTGTTTTTCCTATTCTTGATGGTTGACAAAATGAATGATATCTGTTATAGGTTTTCACATATTAAATAGAAGATTTATGCTTAAACATAAATTACATAATAATTAATTTGAATATTCGAAAAATATTGCACTAAATAGTGGAACTGAAACAAAGTTAAATTTTATTAATTACTTCGTTTGTGTTATAGAATAAGTATTTAAATAGTTTTGAAGACTAAAACAACCGTCCACAACTAATTTATTGATCGTTCATTGCATATGATAACTCGCAGATAAATGTGATTTCCAAAACTACGAATTTTTAACAAGTTCAATAAGTAACAGTCTATTACAATGTTTCTAATGGAAATTTAAAATAAAATACACAATAGATGCTGTTTTATATAGTCAAAGTGTATATGTACATTTGCTTTTCATAAGCAAAAGGTACCAAAGTGTACAACATTGAAGTTTTACGTAATAAAAAGAAATGAAAAATGTTCATATCTCATTTACCAAAGTAAAAAAAAAAAGATCAATAATAAATGCATAAATAGAACAGGTAGATAAGCAATTGGTATCTAATTCATCTAGAAAGATCTGTCACACAAAAATACAGAATCCCGAAAGATACGCACGAAATAATGATATATAGTTTTCATTTCGAAAAATGAATATAAAAGAATACAAGAGGGAATACATCGAGGGTACCACAAATTAAGCTTAATAAGAACAGGGTTGAGATGAGTTGCCTGTAGACGTGTAATTTTGTTGTCCGATGAATAACAAATTGTATTTAGTAGATATGTATTTCTTTCAATATTATAATATAATTAAACTACGCTCATATTGACCATAGAAATATTCAAAACACAAGAGAACAAGTGTTCAATTTTATAGTAGTTTTTTGTCAATAATACTCAATAATGTGTTCTACAATCAGATTTACTTCTATCGGAAAAGTTCGGCTGCAATTATTTTAGATGGTTATTTATACGCTCAAGAACGTCAAATCAACGACCTTGCCAACTGCTGTTTTGAAGTTCATAAAAATGATGTCGATTACAACTGCATATGTACATGTAATTTTGAAAAGAAAAGAAAAGAAAAGTTTTTGTTTCTTCATTTGTACGCATCTTTCGTATACCCGTAAGAAAGAGTGATTTTTCGATTTTTCTATAAGCTCATAAAGAGCACAAGAATTGTCGGTATCCAAGAGGTTAATAACAAGTTCACATTCATATTGGACTTTAATCAAAACTTCCGCAAAAATCAAGATCAAATTTAGATGAACCAAAATCATCTTCAAATAATTCTTATCGAGGTCGAACGTCATCGACAACAGTAAGATCAGGACGAACAAACAAAATAATTCTAAACAGGAGATAAAACTTTCATCAATTTGAAGATAAATTGTAATGATATTGATAAATCAAGCTTTTTTTTAAACTGGGATCAAATTTTATTATTATTTTTGTTAGCGGTGGTTGATCCTCACTTCTGTCCCTTAATGTCTCGCTACTTCTTTCCCTTTCTTTCGTTTTTACTGTTATTGTTATTATTGTATCTTTCTTGTCTCTATCTCTTATAGTGTATATATGTACGCTGATTTAAGGACATTTAAAATAAAATAAAATAAAAACGAAGTTAAGATCGTCGTAACGAGCTAACAATTCTCATCTTATGCAAAGCTAGAATAATGTGATAGATGTTTTGATTCCCACACCATAGAAATACAAATGTTTTATGAAAAGGTATCAATTTTTCAAGTCTAGTTTAATTTACATTCAAAAATAAATCGTTTAATTGTTGTTCTTGATTATATTATAGTTTGTATCCAAAGGTAAAATATAATCAGCTGTCTCATATTCATCAGCAATTAAACTTAATGATTATGCAAAAATAAATGCATTATATCTTCTAACACGTTTATCAATATCAATTAATGAACGAAAATATATTCTTGTTGATTCTCCATCAAATTTATCATATTATTTACTTTATCAAACATCATTTAAAACATTAATTTTCAAGTATATTAAATTCTTCACTCATATCAACGTCATCACCTTTTTCAATAATACATGAAACAATGACTAAATGATAATATAGTAAAAGTTCAATGCCTAGTATGGATAATATTCGGCAATTATTAACACTCACATCACCATTAATAGATTATTATTATTATTATAGGTAAGAACATTGAGATATTCGTATAAATAATATATGAATAGTTTTAGATATATTGATGATCAATTAACTCACTCCCGAAATTGAATTAATAGCAAATAAATTTCGTTCAAAATCTGATCTATTATTATAACATTGACGATATACTTTTCAAAAAGAACAAACAACAAGTAGAGATGTATTAACAATATTTGATTTTGTACATAATAATCATCCATTATTATCAGCTAATGTTATTCTAAATAATTATTAGTTAATGTTGAATTTGCTAAATTTATTGATGAATTTTTAACTTAAAATAAATGATTAAAATAAAAAAATTCTAATCTTGGTAATAGAATAAATATATTTATATTGAGAATAAAAAATTTTTGTTTTATATGCTTCAATTATTTCATGTAGGATCATCACTTTACCCATCATACGTTTTTATGGTTCAAATTCGATTAGATTTAATGTTTATTTGACAAAAACATAATCAAGATAGAAAAATGTAACAAACATCAACAATACGTAAACTCTTTTTTTTTTGTTAAGATCAATTTGTTAAAAAAGACTTCTTAGGTATTGTAATTTTATTAATTGATTAATATATTAAATAATTTCTAGATATAATGGAATCTTATCCATTGCTGTGAATCATGTAATATTTCTTTCATCCGTATATATCAACCGACGAAGATATCCAGTAATCGTTATGTTTCATTATTTTATGCTGACAAACGGCTTCAAGGCACAACATCAAGATAAAATAATAATGTTTTTTTTGAATATTCATGTTTTTTTTTTTTACTTTAGCCACCCAGGCCGAACAAGCACGGTCGTAAACAATGCCTTAACTGACTTGTGCAGCTGATCGTATATGATATTATGTATTTCTTTTCTTTGAATTATTCTCGTTCAAAGCTTTCGAAGCTATGCAACTTATTCAGATTATTAACGTTTTGTCATAACCTTAGAAAGAAATTCAGGTGTGAGTCTAAGTGTGGAAATGTAGATGGTGCGATAGGACTTGTAGACGAGACAATGCACACAAAACATAGCAGTTGATGCGGCTACTGTCAAGCAACCTACACATGTTTTTATAGACACAATGGCAAAGGAGATGATCTATGAGCCGCCACCCAATGGACATTCGAAGAGACACACGCATGTCATCTAACTCAAGTCCCTGTGCCGAAAGACAGGGGTATGATAGAACTTGAAGATTCACCATGGAGTTCATAGTTTGAATGTAGTGTAAGAGGGAACCTGGTAAACCTTTGGGCAACCTCCAGTCATCCATTATTAGCTAACGTACCACATGAATAAAACGAGTCAGCAGTTGATGAACCCACGAGCTATATGGTTAGATATTAGCCCACCAGCAATTAAACTATTCGATAATAAAGTTGCAATTTAACCTTCAAGATAAATACAATCTCAAGGTAGGTCTAACTGCAAGTGCCGTTCGCTTCTTTGCATACCGGTTGTGACGGTGACTGTGTATCTACCTGTCACTGCTACTCTATCTACGCAGTAATGGTTTTGTTCTGGATGACGGTCGGCCTGTAGATCTAACAAAACATACGGTTGTCGAATATTGTGCAGCCCGCCACTAAGGATACAGTTGTCTCAAAGTGTGCACAACATTTTACCAACGTGAGTAGGATTACAGGTGAGGATGCCAAAGTAAATTTCGGCTTCCGACGCGAGTATCAGCCCTACTTAGGCACAAACATGAGTGCTCGGCATGGGATTTTCTCATGATACGAGTTGCTCAAGCAAACATATTTACAATAATCACTGAGTATCTCAAACGGAAGATGTAGCCATCACTTTGCGCAGTATTTTCATGAACCTTTCCAAGTATTTCCAAGAAGTAATAATATGCTCTAACCAGGAGAGAACCTCCACTCTTTAACGGCAAGGTCTTCATATTGGGTATCCATCTCGTTGCACCATATTCACACAAATTGCTCACTATTCCGGGATATATCGATGTGTGAGAATCTCGACACCCGAGTTTCGGATATTATGACATCCTTCTTTCCTTTGTTTAAAAGTTATAGTAAAGATGTTTAGGAGACTACTTCAATAACAAAACTTTACTTCAAATAGTACGTAAATAAAAACGTTATAGTACTGAAAATCGTCAAATAATAGCTTAAGATGGAAAATGATATCAATGTCGCATTAGCCGTCCTTTCTATTTGATACATTTCTATAATCGACTTCCTACTGACTCAAACTAGTTTCTTCGTAAGATAACGTCTCGGCTCAGTAAGAAGTCAATTATAAAAATGCATTAAAGATAAAGGACGACTAATGCGATATTGATATCGTTTTCTATCTTAAGATATTATTTGATGATTTTCAGCAATATAACATTTTTATTTACTATTTGAAACTAAAGTCTTGTTATTGAAGTAGTCTCCTAAACATCTTTACGATAACTTTCAAACACAAAGAACAAAGATATCTACACATTGTTCTCATTATTACACATATTTGAAATAATATTTTGAAAAAAATTCCAGTTTATGATTCCTTAACTAATATCTACTGTTTTTTGACTTACGAAGAAAATAGTACGGATATGTAGCTTGGCTTTTTCTGCATCTAATGACTTTTTAATTGAATTTATGGTAATCATAAAGAAAGAAACATGTCGTCGCTATCGCATTCATACGATTAATTCTTGAGGCAACCGTTGCTCATGATTTATTCAATACCGGTTGATCTACTTTAATCAGTATGTTTGAAATATTTCGCACATGAAACATATTTCTTCTAAAATATGATATTCACAGTGTTGCTTATGAAGAGAATATTCAATTTTATGAACAGGATCATAGTGCTCATGAATTACGTGTATGTTAACATTGGGAGAGACATCCCAAATATGTAACACTTATGAAATATTATGTGATTTTTTTTTTAAAATATGCAAAAAGGCAAACCTAAATATAGTATTGTGTTTTATTATATTGGAAAAGAAAAAAATTATCGACGACTACGAGATACAGCTTGTAAAAGTTCAATAGGAATGGGAAAGACAATAGTTGAATTACGTTCAGCAGCAATTTGTGTTAATGTCTGTAAATATCTTAATTGCAAAGCAATAGGTGATTGTTGAATAGTATCAGCTGCTTCTTTTAAACCACGACTTGCTTTCATTTCACCTTCAGCTGCAATTATTTTTGCACGTGCATCACGAGATGCTTCAGCTTCAGCTGCCATAGCTTTTTGTAATGCCACTGGTAAACGAACATCTTTTACTTCAACACGTTCGACTTTAACACCCCAAGGATCAGTTGCTTCATCAAGACCTGTCTAAGAATAAAAATAAAATTAATTAAAACAAATATAAATGAAAATATATTCATACTTGAATAACCGTATCAATTTTATCTCGTTCTGCAAGAATTTCCTGAAGAGTTTTAGTACCTAAAACCTAAATCAAATAAATAATATATGTAAGAATTGAGAAAAGAACAAATATTATAGAAATTACATTTCGAAGTGTTGTTGCTGCTAAAAGTTTTGTTGATTTTGCTGCATCTTCAACATTTGTTATTGATATAACGGCATTAAATATTCGAAAATAGACAACAGCATCAACTGCTACTGTTACACTATCTTTTGTTAGAATTTCTTGTGGTGGAACGTCAAAAGTTACTGTTCGAAGATCAACTTTACTATAGGTATCAATGCATGGTAAGATAAAGAATAGACCGGGTCCTATTATATATATAAAATGAATAAATTTCTTGTCCAATTATTGAAGAAAAATGAATTATTATTATATAGTAGTAGAGCAATATAATAATGATTAATAAGGTTTCTCATCATAAGATCATCATAATGGTTAGACACGTAACTAGTTTTACGTATGGGTACATTGACAGGTTATTAGTCAATAGAATTCTAGCAATCGAGAAGTTGTATGACAAGAAAGAGCACAGATTAACTATTTGACTTTTGTCTTACAAACATTTTACAGCCTATATGTTTCACTAAATCTTTCAATTTTAAAAACAGAAGGAATAATCAAAGGTTATATCTATTCTGTCAACATACATTAAATATGTTAATGTTTGTCATCTGTTGTCATGCTAATAATTTGATAAATATCAAGCATAACTATGTATATGTGTTTGTTTACAGAAATATATCAGAATTGAAAATCAAAATATGTAACAAACAAGTATCTATAGTAAACTAAAGAATGATGCAAAACTTCCTGAAAAATTATCGCTTTGTTTTTCATTGACTAACACATATTTCGAAAAAATCAAAAATACAAATTCAGAATCTGCGTTGAAATCCTTTTTTAACTGTACGTTCAAAAACGTTTTTTCTTTGAATTATGAGCACATTTTTAACTAACTCACAATTGTTCCGATAGGAGTCAATATTCTAGTATTTTTCGAATTTTCCCATTACGCTTTTCCATCTAGTTCTTAACGAAGCTGGTAGAAAAAAGCATGTGGTATTGCTTAAAGATCGATTTCTTCTATCGCAGCGCCTGTGGATTACTCTTTACAGAGTACATTTTAATGTTATTTAAGATATGTTCGTCACTCAAAGACAAAATATGATAATACTTTTTTGAACCTACATTTAGAAAGAACTTTCAATGTAGATTTTGAATAAGTATTTTTGATTTTTCCGAAATATGTTCTAGCCAATGAAAAACGAAGCGACATTTTTTTTTAAGAACTTTTGCATCACCCGTTATGTAAAAATATTTATTCAATAGAAATTGATTAAGTTAAACAAAGAAATTTTACTTACCACGTGCTCCATTTGCTAAAATACGACCGAGTCGAAAGATAACAGCTCTTTCATATTCTTGTACTACCTATTGTTTTTCTTTCAAATTAATACAATTAATCAAGATGTATAAATATACATACTTTAAGACAGAAACATAGAGATAAAGGAAATGTAACAATGACAAGAACATAGCTGAGCACAATCAATACACCAAAACAATAACCTGATTGTTCACGTTTGTCTTTAAGGTCTTAAAACAAAAACAAAATGGTATAAAAGTGTAATTATTCGAAACTATTATTCAACATGTTTTGATCTAGTTGGGTATTAAAACGTAAAAACGTCTAAAATTTTACCATAAGAATCTAAATGACGATGACTTATTGACAACGATTGTCGATCTAAATTAAATCCGGATGATGATGGACGTTGACTACGATTAGCAAGATGCTGACAGTCTTGACGACTAATACGTGATAGATTTTGATGGTCATATCGTCTTTCAGTACGAGAATGCATCATTCTAAGTGAATATTTCCCTGCTGTTTTCTTTTTTTTTTCTTCTTATTAATCTATCTATGGTTCGATCGTTAATAAATATAAGCGCAAAATGTTGTGTACACACTCAATCCGATGCCAATGATTCGCTATTATAATTGACGAAACGTGCACATTTTTTTTCTATACACATACTATATTAGTCTTCTTTTTCCATCTAGAAATCTAAGTTTAACTTGCTTAACAGTATACATATAAATTTTGTCAAGCATCATTCTATTGAATGTCACAATCAAATAGATATTATTTTCTCAGTGTGTTCTAATTCGTCGATTGTTTTCTTTCTGTCATGTGGTAATTAAGGTAGAAAAGACACAATCAGTAAATAACACAAAATAGAACAATCGATCAGTCATTTTTTTATTGTTACCATTAGCTTCATATCATGATACATGCGTTAGCCTGTGGAAAAAAAAACAACCAAGACATGATAATAATGTTAAAAGATCATCATCATCATACAAGACAAGGTTATGTTTATATTGAGATGTTGTTTATATGTTATCTGTATGAGATAAATTGTATTAAAAGGCATGATGTTATATGCATCAAATCTCTGTAGTGACATGAAAAAGAACTTTACATCATTCATATTATGAAAGGAGGCATTTCATAGAAAAAAAACTTTAGTTATCTTATTTTTATATAAACATAGAAAATATTTTTGGTGTAATAAACATTTCTGAATTCAGGAAATCTAATAATAAGATCAATAAACAAAAATATACTCTTAATTAACATACCGTCTGTAACTCGACGTACAAATGTCTGAGGTGGAATGAGAAATGAATTTCTGGAGAGACGTCGAGCAACATTATTGTCAGTACGTTGAGGTGGTTGTAACATTGGTGTAAGATATTCATCAGCACTTATTGAGCCAAATTGGGTTCGATAAACATCAGGTCGAGTTGATGCTCGTCTGACACCATATTGCGCTGTATAGGTAAACCCACCAGAAGCTCCGCCAGTTTCAGCATCAAGCATCGATGCGTCGAGCATATTATACGTAGGTGATAAACGAAGACATACGATTTATCGTAGTTATTTCTATTTTCTTTCGCGATACTTCAATCTATCTCTAAAGAGTTGTTGACATACACATATTTTTTTTCCACGATTTTTTTCTGTTATGGAATGTTGTCGTCACTTGTTCTCGCGAAAGTTTTTGTTTTCATGTATCTAATCTATCTATATGTGGATACTATTTCACGGTCAGTTTAGTAGACAAGAAGGATAATATCGTGCTGATTGACAAGCAACTACACAAACACTCAACCGACGAAGATAAGATATCACTAAGAGAATCCGCTAGTTTTCTCTCATCTCTGTTTTATCCTTTTTTTTTCTCTCGTTTTCATTGCTTGTTTTTGACGATGATTAGCACTCGACTTGTTGTATTTGTCAAATTTCTCTTTTTATATTTTTTTTTTCGCTTGTCCTTCATCGATTATCCGGAAAAAAAAAGATACTCTGTGAATGTGATTACTTTGTTGCTTATTCGCGTAAATGAACTATGATGATGATGATGATCATCATCATCATCATCGTCATCTATCCATCTACTATACTCAATCTAATCTATCATCTATTAGATCAAACTCTTTATAAACATGTTCCTTTTTCTCTCTATTTCTGATCGTATAGCAGTAGGATGCATAATAATCAGGAATCGAATTATTTATTCATCAACATCTTCTTGTTGATTAAGACGTTCTTCACAATCTATTTCAATACTCTTGAATGACTCGACACTTATTTGCTTAAGCAATGAGATAGATAAAAAAAGCGAAATGCAAGCAATTGGGACACAACAATATCTGCACTTGACTAATCAAGTGTTTATATGTTATAAAATCAGTATGATAGGATGCTTGACCTTCAAACATATATAATAATTACAAACGAATGAATAACATTAATTTGCATAAATTAGAGTTATGTATATAGCAAGATGACTCTCAATATATCAACTACATTTTCATCACATAGCTATTGATCTTTAAAGAAAATTCTTTTCATTTTTATTTAACAAGTCATTTTTTTTATTTAATTGATCTATACGATTTCATCGTGTATTTCAACTAGAACAATTATCTTTATTTCTGGAGGAAATTATAATGTACTTCATTCATCTATAATGATAGATTCTTATCCTCTGAATAAAAAAAAAAACCTATTAATTATTATCCTACCATTAGTTATTAACCATCATAATTCTTAAGCTTGTATTAGAATGTTTTAAATATAAAAAAAAAAATTGTTTGACCTTGATTCTCTCTAAAAGTGACAATAAAAAACTGGTTTAGTCTCATGAAATCTATTTCTCATTATTTGACTTTATTGAATGTTTAAAAACAGCTCAGATACATATTCTTTATCTTTGTTGAAAAAAAAAGCAACAAGACGACAGTGGTTTGCTGTTGTTATTCTTTCTATTTAGCCTTAGGCCAACAAGAAGAAATTCTATAAATGGAATACATGCAACTAATAGTGATTTGGAGAAAAAAAAAAGATAGAAATAAACGAAACCTGAACAATATTGTCATATAATATAGTAATAAAAAAGTACATTTCAATTGATTCATTCTTTTTTTTTGTGGCTTCACAGAATTGAATTGATATTTGGAAAACAGTTTTATCGTCTTGCAGTCATATGAAAATTCATTTGATTAAACTATTATTGAGCTTAAGAATTTTTAAGATAAATTAACTATTAATTTGTGTATTTTTGTTAGTATTGAAAATGATTAATAGATGCGAAGGACATTTCAACTTTTCATTTTCTCAGATTGTGCCATGGCTGACGAGAAAACTACTCGAACCGATACGCATCGTTTGAGTTCATAATCAGGTTTCGATAAAACTAGAAAAAAATCCTCAAAGGATTTGTGTTCATTATCCTCCGAGGCCATGTTATGACCGTTTCATTGAATTTTCAATTCAACTTACCGAAACATCAATTATAGCGGCATCTTCGATCTAAATTAAAAATTCAGTAAAAGAGTCATAACTCGGCTCCAAAAGAATATAGATAGAAATACTCTTAGAATTCTTCTAATGTTACCGATACCTGATTGTAAATCGAATATGAATTCAAATAGTATATATAAATTCGAATAGATCCCTTGTGAACAGCTTATACTTTCTCATAGTATATTTGTATGTCTCGTCCTTGAAACTGCCGATAATTGTGAATTTTAATCTATTTCATACATCGACAATCGCAAAGATAATAATATATCGATTGTTACTGATGAAGTTGAAAAAATATTTTTTACTCTACAGTATACTTTGGAACGATGTTATCTGATTTAACATAAAGTTTGTCAAAATGTCAAGTATACTGTGTTATGCTTTACGTTAAAAGCTTGTTTTGATACTATTGCTCGTGTGTCTTTGTTCATGAGACCTTTTCAACTCAATTGTTCTATCTTAAAATGAAGATTGATTTTAACATAATCTAATTTTTTGTTGATTATTGTCATTTATGATATAAGAGTGCTTGTGAAATATATATATAAATGAACTTATAAAAAGATTTGATAATTCATTTTTTTCTTTAATATTCATGAAAATTACAATAATAATCATTGAAAATAGATTATATTATCTGATATAATTTTCATTCTGATCATTGTATAGTTAAGTTTTTCAATATTTTTCGAAAAACATAATCGTTTTTTCCTATAACTTTATATAGGAGAAGAATTATATGCATTGTTTTATTATCAAAACAGTATTATTAAGAAATCAGTTTTAGGGTGCATAAATGTATATTTTAATTATTGAATAATATAAACTGAGTACGAATTAAGAAAAAAAGAAACAAATAAATACACAAAAATATCGTGATTTAATTCTTTTTATCGATCGCTTGTTCAATTATATTATGAAACATTATAACAACTCTGTTCAGAAAAAGTACAAGTCTTCATCATACAATTGAAAGACGATCTGTACTAACCATATTGCATTGCATAGGAACAACAAAATGTCATACACGATAGTTGTTTTTTTTCTGTTGAATCGTTTCATCAATATTTCTGTTATCTAAACAAGAGGAAGAAAGATAACTCAATACACTTATTTTCATCAACAACAAAACGATCGATCACTTAACCATCATGACAAATGAACTTTTTAGCCTTATACAACACATTTTTCGATTTACATTGACATTAATGTCCTGTACTCCAGTGGAATGCCTGACTTGGTACAAATTCACCGGATCAGTTTGAAAATTGGATATGATCTCATACCTACACTCTATCTGATAAAGTTCCTCATGTTTTCGTACAAAGAACGAGAGAATTTTCTCATATTATAGCATAACGACATATTTATGGTAGAATTAAGTAACTCTTCTTTACTTTCTTATCTCTGTATTGAGTTTTATGTTTAAGTCGTACATTTCTATTACTATGAATAACTAACAATCTAGGATAGATACATTTGATAATGATTTCATCACGAAAAAGTTAGAAAAATTGATTTATCGTCTAGCAAGTATTGTTGTAACACACAAATTGAACAATTTCTTTTTTCTACTCAATGTAAAACAGATATTCTTAACAACTAATAATTAGTTAAGTAAATCATAAATTAAATTCAAATGTCTTTATCAATTATGTTTAAAAATGAATAGCAATTGAAAAATTGTCATAAATATAGATAAATATCAGCTTTCTATGACTAATATTTTCATAATTCATTGAAATCAAATCTTTTCAATACTTCATATGCGAAAACAAAACATTTGAAGATTCTGTTCAATATAACTTTCTTCTCATAATCTACAATCTAATGAAATTCTTACAGTAAATATTTCATTTTCATTAAGTTCTCTACTTTTGTTTATTTTTCAAGTCTCATAAATGGTTTATAACAGCAGAACCTATGTCCACATCAAAATTAAAAAGATGTATGTGTAAATTGAACAGCTGACCACCTGCTCCATTACCTCCGCATAAAAGTTCAGAAAAACAACCCATGAAAACGGTGTTTTATTTCAAGAAAACTGATAAAAAAGTTAGAAAATTTGACTAGACAGATACATGATTGGGCTTTTACGACATTTAGCTGTAAAAAAATGATAATCTGAATCATGTCTGGATCTATGGATTAGAAGTACATGTCAAAATCAAAATTACATTGAGACGGCATAGATTTTTTTGAATGCTTTGTGAAGATTATAAGTTTCAAACTAATTTTTTGTTTTCAATAGTATCAAACAAAAAAACCGTTCCAAGTTCTCTTCTTCCGATTTCTAAAAAAATGTAAACTGCCAAATGTTGTTGTTGTGGGGTTATTGAGCTTTCGCCCATCTCTTTGTAATTTTGATGAAGGCATTAAAGCTAATATGAAGTGAAAGCATGCATTACTTTGTCTATCCTTGTCAGTGCTTGTTTTTCTATAGAGATTTCGAAAAAATACATTTCGAAGTTTTAGATTCATATAATGACGTATAAGATCGTAAAGTTCTTTTGGACAAAAAAACTTCTCAAGTCTCCTCTATTACCGAAGAAAAAAAATCAGCTTCATAGCGTGGAGATATTCACATCTTTTATTGTAAAGTTACTTATGAATCACCTTATATATGTCAAGAAACAACAATTGGATAGTTATGGTCTTTTACTCGTTAGCATAAATATTTAATTATAACTATCTTGACTTCATTTAGATACGAAAGTTAAGAAGTGAAATGAGTCAGTTGAATTGACGTTTTTTAAAATTTTTTATTTATTGACAATAATGAATATTTAGAAAAAGAAAAAAAGTTCAAACACATGCCGTTTTACTGTTGTCGATAAAAACGAGAATGTTCGACCATCATCGATCGAGATGGTTATATTTTACAATACTTGCTCTTTCTATTAACCCTCAGGCTAATAATAATAATTTCTATGGATGCAATACATACAATAAATGTTGATGTCATTTATAAAAGTGAAAGAGAAAAAAAAGAATTTGAAATAAACAAAACTTGAAAAATGTTTTCAACTGAGGTAATAACAGCAAGAAAAAAAAAAGAAAATTAATTAATTAGTTCTCTTTTTTCATTCAATAAATAGACTCTAAATGATATTATTGAAGATTCTACATCTGAATTTGGTGATGATGCTTATTTTCAAGATGATGATTTAGGTGAAGAAATTGATATAAATACAAGCGCTGATGTAAATGGTGGAGATAATTCTAGTAGGCCAGCAACTACAAAATCTGCAGATTCACAATTACGCACCGATGTTAAATCTGTTCGTTTGCAAAAATCACGTCCCCGTATATATGATTTTAGTGCTAATAATCTTAAACGTGATTTAACTTTAGAACTTATTATTGGTTCACGTAAATCAAGTATTATTGAAAATGAATATACAAATTTAGCACAAACGACATCACAAAATCGTCGACCATCACATCATGTTCGTATAAATTCATTAAAACAACGTTCTATGACACTTCAAACCGATAATGATGTACATAATAATGATACAAAAGATCGAATAACAAATTCTCAACTTGGTAAAAACGTTTCATTAACATCTGCACTTCAATTTGATAATGAAAAATGGGATGATGGATTAAATACTGAGTTTGATAAAGGTAAAATTTCAAATATGATATTTTTGAAATTGATAGAAGAAGAAACTAATAACATTTTTCTTTATTTTTTCTTGATAGAAAGTATTGCATCAATAAATAAATCAAGTTTACAAGTTTATGAAGAAACATGTAAACGATTAAATATTTGTTCATGTTCAATGGTTGTACGATCGTTACATACAACAAAAATTAATTTAGAAAATTATGGACTTGGACCAAAAGGATCACAAGCTTTAGCTGTTGCTCTTATTGTGAATTTCTTTTTTTCTAAAATATTTTCTACAAATTTATGTACATTTATTTTATGAATATTTAGCGTAATACAAATGTAATATCACTGAATTTATCAGGAAATAATATTGGCAGTAATGGTATGTCTCATATCTATCAAATTCTGATGGAAAATACATTCATTGAGGAATATGTAAGTAATGGATCCATGGAAATATTTTTTAAAGTCGTTATGTTGTGTTTGTTGGATTTAATGTGTGAAGTTTGAATTCATACTGTTTTTTTTCTATAAGCTTTTGATGTGTATATCACTGAGTAACAGACAGTCTTTTGAATTGTTAGCAGATCAACGTGCGTGACGCTTTAACTCAAATTTGAGTATTATATCAAACTTAAGAAAGTTTACTTAGAATTGTTTTTGAATAAATTTTTATCTTTAAAACAAGTAATTTATTCTGTTATTCTTTTTCTTAAAATTTTGATGATTCAATAATTGAGATTTTGTTATTCTGTTTTATAGGACTTATCCTATAACAATCTTGGTACAAAAGGTATTCGTAAATTAGGAGCTGCTGTTGCCTCCAATACTCATTTAAAAACTTTAAGCATCGCTGGTCTGTATTATTAATTGAAATTTCTTATTTTTACATGTTTATTTGATATATAGGTAATGAATTAACAGCGAATGATATTAATATTTTTCTTTCAAAACTCGAGGCAAGTGATTAATTTATTTAAAAAAAAGCTATTTAAATGAATATAAATAGGATCATTCAAAACTTAAAGATCTTAATCTAAGTCATAATAAATTGGATGAAGATGGTGGAACATATGTTGCTAAATGGCTACGTAAATATATATATATTTTTTTTTCTATTATAAAAACCAAGTATAAAATTTTCTATATCAGGTGAAAATAGTGTATTACTTAATCTTAATATTAGTTGGTGTAGTATTCGTTTAAAGGGTACTCGTGCTTTAGCTGAAGCAATCGGCGAGAATAATAAATTAATTTCGCTTGATTTATCATATAATAGTTTTGCAAATGATATAGTAGAATTATTAACAAATTCATTATCACGTAATATGATTTTAAATGTTTTAAATTTATCTGGAAATCAAATATTTTGTCGATATGATATAAAAATAAAAGAAGGTCCATCAATTTTAATTATTGGAAAAGAATCTTTAATTTATAAAATGTTTGTTGCAGCTGCAACAAATCAAGCATTAAAAATATTTCAAGTAGAAAGAAAAATAAAATAGATTTTCATTTAAACTTATAATTATATTTTATGTAAATTTTCTTTAGATAGGAAAAAATCATATTGATGCACGTTGTATGATGATTATGTTAGAAGCATTATCAAAACTTGATAATATTTCATTAGAAGAACTTGATTTAACTGTATGTTTCATTATTCTCTATTACTATTTATTATTATTTTCATATATAGGGTTTAACATTAAATTTAAAACAAAATTCTGCTATTCATCAATTTTTCGCTAATCATTCAAAATTTACATGTTATGTTGGACCAATTAGACAGACAATAGAACACTTTGCAAACAATCTACTTAATTTAATTAATAAATATTGTAAAGAAAATGAAATTAATTTAGAAAATATGTTTAAACCAGATGAAGAAAATGTTCTGTCGAATTCAAGTATAACATATGATGAATTTCGTGATGGATTAAGAAAAGCAAAAATACCATTTCCAGTAGCACAAATTGAAAATATTATTAATTATTTGGTTAGCTTTTGTTTTTGAATCACTATTTTTTATTTTTGTTTAAAATATTTTGACTTTTATTTAAATAGGGACGGAATGACGACAATGGAATAATTTCATTCAGGTTTAAAACGAATTTTCTATTTTTTCTTTCATTTATATTTCTTTTATAGTTCACTTGAAATGGAATAAAAACAAAACATGCTGACTTCTCGTTATTTTTTCTTTTGTTTATCTTCATCAATATTAACTTTACATATCTTAGTCATTAATTTGTTCGTATGAAAATGAATGTAATGGTTTTTTAAGCATCGTTTAATCAAAATATTTTGGTGATATAAATAAACTATCTGTCTGTTCGAAGTGCTGCTCTAATGTAACGATTCATTAATAATGAAATTCAATTTAAACGAAATATCAAGATTGCTTTATAAAAACTGACAACAATCATAGTTGAATAGTTCAAATTATTGACTTATATTTAGGCTATTGCATACCTAGCATATTTTTTTCTCCACTTTTTTTTTTCTCACACACCATACTTGATTGATCATACATTTTTCTCATATTTACTCATAATGAACATACTTTACATAGTGATTTTAATAATTAATAAAACAATTATTATTTTTTTTTTGATATTGACAAACTACTGGCGACGTAATTATTTTTATTTAGTGCAATTAACACATGCCATTGATAAAGTATATCGATGATTTCGTCATAGTGAAATTTCAATGAATGATATGCATATAATAAAATAGGTAGTAGTTTCGAAAAACAATTTCTTGTTTTTTTCCCTTTTATCAGATGTTTAATTGGTATGAATAAAATAACTTCCATGGGAGTATTCTCGTTTCGTCGAAAAGTAACAAGTTTAAATAATATACTTCAAAGCATATCAAAGTCGGTGAGGGTACAGGTGATGGTGATTTTCGAGGAAACGAGAACTAACCCTTCCATGAAAGGAGAAATTGACTATCATATGATAAATAATCGACAAGAAACAACAGTAAATAATATGTATTATTTTTTTACAGTTTCATTTTAAAAGCTGATTGTTTCGACAAAAATAGTTAATAGAATGAGAAAATTCTTTTTTGCTGTTGTCATATGTAATATAATGTAAATATTTTTTTTTTTTTTTATTGTGCAACCAAAAACTTAATATGTACTTTCTTTCTTTCTAATTTTTATTCTCGGTACTTTGTGTAGGTGTCTGTCTGCTGTTAATTTTTCAATAGCATTACACATATTGAATTTTTTTTTTCGTTTGTTGATTGTTGTTGTGTCTGACGCATATATTTTTTCTAGGTTATGTACCATGCCATTGCTGATTGTACGTAATCTTGCAAATATTCGTAAATATAATGAAGTAAAAAAAAATCGAAAGGAAGAAAAAAAATGCAAGCCAGGATAATAATGATGCTGACGACCAAAAAACCGAACAAAAAAAAAAACGATGGATGGAAATGGAAGACGACAAACCAAGGGCATTAATAGGAACACAAAAAAGAAATACATTCAAACAAATTTAGTTTACAGATTTTGTATTTTTTGATTTTTTTTTTTCATAAAATTCTTTTTTCTCTTAATGTCATTTTATAATTCAAATGTACGTAGTGTGAAAAAGTGACGTTTGACATTCTATCGTTAGTTTTTTTTCCCGTTAAATATATCTATACATATTTCTCTCGCATGTTTCCCAGGACAGAAAAGAGAACGAACAACATACATGTCCATCTGTCTTTCGAGCTAAAATTATGTCAGGAATGAGAATTATTTCAATGCAATCTGCGTTTATTTCTCACAATATGTTCGTTGTTATTGTTGTTGTTTTTTTTCAAATGAACGAATGAAAGAAAGAGAATAAGAAATTTTATGGATATAAAAAGATTCTTTATTTTTATTCTTTTTCATTTTTAGAATATATATATATATATATATCAACAATTATATTCAATGAACGAAAAGACTATTAACAACAATTTAATGTGCAATCAAAATCAGATATCAAAAAATCTTCCTTTAAAAAAACGTCGTACCTATATGATGGACACATCAACTACAAATATTGATCAAAATGAATATTGTCCGATAAAAAAAAAACAGTAAGTTATTAAATTATTCTTTCAAACTTATAAGATTAGTTGACATAGAATATCAGTATTAATAAAAATACTAAACATTGAAGAATTTGATTTTTACTTTATTTTTTTCAGGGCTTATTTACAAGATGATCCACTTCAAATATATATTCCACCTTCACCTATTGTTCCAACACCACCATCATCACCACATTTAGAATTATTACGTCAACAATATGCTTATTTATTAGCTAATTCAACAAATATTATAAAACAAAATTATTATCATCTATCAACTCATGATAGTTTTATAACACAAAAATATCTTGATAATTATCGAGTGTTAATTGACCAACAACAACGTGCTTATGCTATAGTTGAAGGTATAATGTCTTCTTTTTTAAGAGAAATTTCAATATTCTTTTTCTTTTCTAGATCAACAAAAACGAACAGATATAACAATAGATGAACATTTTCGAAAATCATTAGGAAATAATTATCATAAATTTTCGAGTCGTTGTTTAACTCCCGATGACTCATCGTCCAATAGTTCTCCAATAGAACGAACACCAGGTTTGTACTATTCATTAAAATTCATAATATACAATTTTTTTTTTTTTTTTTATTTGCTTAACTTTCAATGATTTTTTCTTTTAGTTGATTCAATCGAAGAACATTTTGCTCGTTCACTTGCAAAATTTCAGCTAGTAAATAATACATCATCAAATGAAGATCAAATGTCATCGATTAATCATCAAATAACTGAATCAGTTGTTAATGATCATTTTGCTAAAGCATTAGGTGTGACAACATGGGAAAAACTTAAAGAAAAATTATAATTAATTCTAGGAAAATTTTTTATTAGTTATTTTTTGCTTTTCTTTATAAATGTATGATGACACTCGGTGTCAATCTATCTATATGACAAATAGAAAATTATATGAAATAATAAAATTGAACAAAAAAAAAAAAGTTCTTCTGTTCGTTAATTGTCTATCATAGGCGCTAATAATTAAATATTTGACTTTCTTATCCAAATTTGTAATACATAGTATGTGAGAGTATTCTAAAGTCAAAATTTTAACTGAGAAACTAGTGTCGAATAATAGTAAATAGAAATGTTAAGCAAAGTTTCAATTAAACACGGTGTTTTGAATAAAAATCATAAGAAAATTTTATGAGTGACAAATCTAGGGTTTCAGTGACTGAAGATGATCATAATCATAAAATGTGCTTTCAAGTCAAATAAGAGGTCATGTCGGTATATTTTTGGGCTTCTTCTGCTGAGGAGAATCGAAAGAAAAATTAGATCGCAAGGAAAGAATGATCGTTTTTCTCTAAATTCTCCACTAAATTTTACAAATTTAAATGCTGTTCATTACAGAGTTTTCATCATTTTCAAAACTCATTAATATTCGAGAAAATGTTTTAATACAATAATCAAAGATTGAAAAGTTTTATTGAAATAGGTTAAAGATCATCATACCCATTTCATATAATGATTATACAATCTAAGGAAAAAAGTTCTAGAAATCTATTAACTATACCTGAATAGTCTCAAGATGTTCACAATTAGATAATGATGGTTTGAACAATTTTTATGGATATAGAAAAGATGAAATTAATTATATTAGAACCTGTAGTTTTTTTGTTCAAATACAATAGAAAAACATCTATCATTATCTCCAAGGGTATTTCAAGGTCGTCTAGAATGAGCAGTAGATTGAAAGACTTTTGCTAAACTTAATCGGATTTTGAAAAGGAAGACAGAATTTTTTTTTTGGGAAACTGGTAAGCAAAAACAAACAATATAACATTGGACAAAAACAAAAATTTTTCAAGACTGGGAGCGAGATCATCACTTCAACGTGCTCGCTTCGCCTAACATATACGTTACTATCTCATATGGACTCTAATTATATTTAAATGTATGCCCGGTTTTTTTTTTTCATAAGAAACTGAGTGAGAAATTTTTGATTAATGTTGTGATGCATATCTCTGATATAAAAAAACTTAAATTATCTTGAATTCAGACAAACACGAAAATCAATATTGCTTATTTATCTGTAATTTATATAATAAGTTAATCTATAGACTATAATAATTATTATATTAATAAAAAACTTTGACTTTCAAACTAGTGACATCTATATCAACTTATACCTTTCCTCTCGGTTGCTCTTAGAAACGTAACGATATTTTATGGAAAAGAAAATGAAAGCTTTTCATCTTTTCTTGCGGCTTTCTTCGATGTTCTTAAAGAATTTTATCGAATTAGTTTATTTAACAATTCAACATCTATTTTAATCGTACTATTTTTAGAGATCATGTCAACAAAGCAATCAAAAAAAGTTGTACCCGAAAAAAAAGATCAAACTAAACGTCCACCAACTCGATCTCGTCTTGTCTTCGAAGAACCACATATATTTCGTGTTAAAAGTGAACGTTTACTTTCACATTTACAAGAAAGTCGTGAATATCTTCCATGTGTTGCTTGTTTAAAAGAATCTGATCGACGACAAGAAACATTCGATCGACCACATTCATCTTATATTCGTCAACAATCAACTCGACCACGATCATCTGAACAGCGACCATCAACAGGAATTAAAAAGAAGCATTCTCCTTCACCACCAACACCAGCTGATTTAGAACGATTAAGTCGACCAAAAGCATTTCCACCAGAACAAATATCACACAATTGTAATTGGAATAATTTTATTCAGAAAAAAAGTAAATACGGTATGAAACAAAAGCTACTTATATAAAGTTCAAAATAATAAGAAATATTTATTTGTAGCTGTTAAAACACCTTATGCTCAATGCAATGTAACATTTGATCAAGAGTATTCAGAAATTCGTCCACCATTTGTTAATTATGGTGGACGCTATGATGACAAACAACATGGAGAAAAACGAACATTTAATTCATTAGCTATTCATGTATGATAGATAAAAAAAGAAAGAGTTTTTATCATAAATAGTTAATTAGTTCTTTTTTTTAACAGCAACTTAAACATCATGAAGTGGAAGAACAACGCTTAGCAGATTTACTTCATGAACGACGTCTTCGTCTTCAAGCAAAAATTTATTTTCGTGAAATGGAAGAACGAAACGCTCGTGCACAAGAATTACGTGATCGTGCAGCACGTGCTTCAACTGAATATCGAGATAATTATAGACCACCACAAGATTATAATGGTACAGGAACATTTTCTCGACATTAAATTTGTTTATTATATATCTGAATGATAATTTGAACAGAAACAAAAAGAGAATTATATTTGTTTAAAATTTTTGAATTGTTTTAGAATATCTTGCTTATTTCCAGTTTGTTATTCCACTTGCACTGATTTATTTGTATTCAAATAAAATACTTTTAGATGCTTTTAAATGCCATAAAAGAAACTCGAAATCAGAAAATGTTTTTGAACTTTAAATAGTAATTTACTAAAAAGTGTTCGTATTTGAAGATTATGTCCGTCAACAGCTTTTGAAATATGATGGACACGAATAAGATATAAATATTGCGTTTTATTTCAATAGGAAAGAATGCTTACTGTTGAATTGCAGAAACTCGTTTTATCATTGATAATATACAGGTTTTTGAATTTTCAGCTTTAATTAAAAGATCGATCTTAAAAATTAAATAAATTCATTTGAACAGTTCACAATGTGGTCAATAATAATATCACTTCAATTGTTTTTTTTTGGAGTTGAAGTTATCTTTTTTTTTTCGAACCATTTTAATATGTTCTTGTACTTGGTAAAACCAGTCGTTAAAGAACTCATGTAAAAATTTATATAAAACGATATTAAGAATCAAACTTATGAGAAATTTTCTACAGCAAACCAATGAAAATGTCTATACTAATTCGAATTTAACAGCTTATGTTATTTCTTTCTATGTCTCTTTTTTCTCTTAGCGTTTTTAATCATTTAATCCAATTTTCTTTCGGTTTTTTGTCTTTTTATATTTATGTAAAATATTTAGTTTTTCTAAAGTTTATTCAATATACGGTTAAAGTATTGTTTCAAACAATATCATTGAACTTTGACGCATCTGCATTAAGATAAACTGATGCATGTTAAAGACAATTTTGTAGCATATTATTTATAATTTTACTTGGTTTTATCTGTTGAAATATGTTTATTTCGATAATTGCTCATTAATTTTTTGATATATATGAGAGATATCACTAATAAACAATAATGTTTCATCGGTGATAGAAAGATTTCGTCACTAGATTGATTCAAAATAACTGGAAATTCATTAAAGAGTGAGACTTTGACAATTTCGTAATATTATAATTCAATCGAATTTTTTCAAGACAAAATTTATCAACACGTAAAAGCAAACAATCTATACTGTAGCGTTTTCGAAAATGAGCAGTTATTTTTATTCTTTATTAAACTTTAAATTAATTGAAAAATCAGAACTTCGACAAATACAAAAGAAAAAAAAAAGATATGATTATCTTTGATACAAAATATAAAAGATCTTTACAATAATCAAATCAAGTATACATAACTTGGCTGAAAAAGAAGCGATCTTGAATTGAATTCCTTCAAGCAGCACTAAAAAATCTGACAATTTCACTTACTATTCTATAATAAAAGAAAAAAATATTTTGTAATTTATCTTTATACGTAGATATGCATTATTTTATTAGCTAGAAAGTTGTAACAGTATACTCTGCAAATAACAATGAGTAACTGAGTTGCGTACGACTAAACTTAGATACACATCGATTTTCTTTTTTGCTCGATAGATTACACTTTTTGTCGTTCAATGGAGAAAAACGAAAGATGTTTATTGTAAAATTGAATCTGATTCAATTTATCAATGATAAATATTTCTAGAAGTAGTATTTGTTCTTGAATCACATTAAATATTATTTAACATATTGTTATTCGATTTTTTATGTTACATAATATATTTAGAGAATTTTCATTTTGAAAAAATAACATGTTGAAGGATTATCTACAAAACACCTTCTCCTTTTTGTCGAATATGCTGATATCATGCGTAACAGAATTCGATTTCCTTTTATTGTGTCTTGTCTGATGATGCTACGTTCACCATGACAATAGATAACATTCTGAAATTTTTATTAGTCACAAAAGCTGTTAAATTCGGCTATCGTGAAATAAATTTGTTTCCTTGATTCAATCAAATCAATATTATTAGAAATGTAAATTGGATATATATCTGATTGTCGATCGACATTCATCAACGATTTAAATTTTATTGTTTCTCTGCAGCGAAAAAAAAAGATTACTGTTCTGTCATCCGTCAAGCAATGTAAAAATGAATATTTTTTCAAACTATTGAATATTCTTTCTTTTTAAATCATGATGACAATCAGTGTATAGTGAGAAAAAGGGTTTTTTTCGTATTATTTGTCCTATCGTTGTGTATGTACTATTCATGAAAGAGTGATAACCACAAATAAAACGAAAAGATAACGTATAGAGATGCACTTCTTTGAGACGTGGTAAGAGGTAGTATTTGTAAATCTAATAAACGATCTGACTCTCGTGATGCAATTAGACCGCTGAAAGGCGTAAATTTATGCATGCCAATTGCCTGCGCTTTTCGCTTAGAGCTTTTTCTGGAAGTACCAGATATCTGTGAATGAGCATTGTTTAAGCCAATAAGAATTTAGAGATAAGAGTCGTAATCTCCTATATTGATACTTGTTGTTCCCAGATAAATTGATTAGCCAAATGCAAACAAAAATCAAAATATTTGTTGCACTATCTGATAAATGTGGCTTTCAGGATGAAAATCTTGTGATCAAAGGTAAATAAACGTACGATGCAAAATTAATGGTACAAAATGTCGACCTTATTTGTCTTCGATAAAATGGTTCTAAAAGAAAATATTTTGTACCAAATGATAAAGCTTTTCCTCATCGTTCGAATTGTATGTAACTTATTTTAATAACACGTGCATAAATGGAATGATACATCAGAAAAGAGAAGTACCCTTAAAAAGAATCCTCACTTTTTGCAAGATTCAGAAAAGCGGCACAAAGTTTTGATTCCTATATTTATTTGATAACTCTTCGATAAACACGTTTGTAAAAAGAACATTTTTTTTTATTCATGGATAGAAAGTTTTCTCTTCTTTTGAACAGTATATGGTTCATATTTGTTATAGATTGATAAATAAAATGAGACGAGAAAAAAGAGAAATATTCGCGCAATACATTTATAATTTCTATATGAACTCGTCAAAAATATCTTGTTACACAGCAATTAATTCAATTTTTGTGAACTCATTCAAAACACCTTGTAAAACGACGGTTACTTCGGCTATTAAGAAATTGATTAGAACATATTGTAAAAAGACAGTTAATTATAATTAACTATTATCTACAAGATGTTTATGACAAATTCATATAAAAATTGCAAATTTATTTCGTGAAGATTTCTCTTTCTTCTCGTCTTCTTTCATCTATCCAAGTGGAATAGATATGAATAATATACTGTTTCAAAGACGAGAAAAAATTCTATCGTTCGAGAAAGAGAATTTTCTTTCAGCACCCTTTTATCGAATACCAATAGGGATCGACATTTTGTCCCATTACTTTTGCATCGTACGCTATAAATTAGTGATGAAAAGCGTGTGACGGAGCGACTCACTTGTTTCTCCTTTATTCAAGAAATGAATGAAAGCATGCAACACGAACATATATATGGCCAACACAATATAAAAAAAAAAACAAGAAAATAGATAACTAACGTATGTACACCTATGTATGTGCGTGGCAGATGTCTATAAACATGGCCATGAAGAACAGTGACGAGTAGAACTCATCAAAATGCATTCTGTTTTTCATAACAGTTATATCATCACGTCGAAGGCCACAGATTGATTCTCTTCTCTTTCTCTTCTTCATGTGTGCATAAACAGTCGTATCTGGACATTAAATAGAGAATGCATCACGAGTAAAGAAAGAGTAGAGAAAAAAATTGAGTTACAGTTGTAAAAAAATATACTGTTTACTCGTCATCAATAATCATGAGCGCTTCTTTGATTATCGCACAAAAAACGGCCAGTGTTTGGCAGCCATTATCTTTGGTAATAGCTGTAGGACTTAGCAGCAGTCTACTAATAATCGGCCTGGCGCTGGGTTTAGGCTTGGGTGTCGGATTAAATAGTAGCAACCAAAATTTAACAGTCGTTAAGACGACGAACTCAACGATAGTGACTACTTCAAGCATCACAACTTTCACCAGTAGTAGTAACTCGACAACATCCAATACATTCACCACCACCAGTACAACAACACAAGGTTAGTTTTCTGATCACTATGATTTTCTGTGTGTGAGACTCGATAATAAGTTCCATTTTGATCAGATTCATTCGAGAAAACTTTACGATTTATCATACCCAACTGCGTGTGTAGGATTGAAAGCAAGAACAACAAAAAACAAATGTTTTGCTGTTCTTGTTTTCTAATTTTTAGCGCAAGTATCTGTCATTTTATACCGATCTCTTTTTTGTGTTACTTTTTCATGAAACTATTTCAAGGGGTCAAGGAATCTCAATAGGACACAGCTCTTCATGAATTACGCGAGACTTTAACTGTTCTTTGGATTATGTCACTTACTTTGCCTTGGTAGTAACGGGTGGGCCATAAAGAATTGCACTTTTTTGTTTTCGCTATAACTCAGTCAGTTTTGATGCTATTGGCCAAAACTTTTTTCAAAAAGATTCGCCATTCAATTCTCTACAAAACCATATGTAAAAGATTTTTGTAAACTACCAAATGGCTAAGTTCTAAAACGAAGAGAACAGGTGTCGAAAATGTTCAACTTTCAAGCTCAAAACGCATTAATATTTGGAGTACGTTTCGATAATTTATACGCAGGCTTAAATTGCGCGAGAAACATTTTCTGGCATTTTTAAATACGCTTTTTCCGATATCCTTGAAAAGCTTTTCTTTCAAAGTGACCTTCGCCTATTAAATCGATATTTTCCGAAATCTCGTCCGAAACGTCTTAATTGGGGTTTTCACGAAAACCAACCGCAAGCAAAACTTTGAATGACTCGAACGAGTGTGCAGAGATATAGTCTAGTATGTTGACTTTTAAAGAAAAAGAAACTCGTCAAAAAAGAACGTTTTTTTACTGAATGGCATACATTTTCGTGCAAGCAGCAAAACATGAAATGAAAGTTGAGTTTTTCAGAAAAAGTGTAAAGATGTATCGCGAA